TAAAAAGGAAATAATATAAAATAATATATATTTTGTTTAATTGGTGGCACAAAAAAAAAGACCTTTTGAAAATATTTTTTTTTAATATTTCTTATATTTTCTTGTTCATTAAATTGCATTGACAGGCCTTGCAAATTTTTTTTATAATAGAAATAATGACTGGGACGATTTTTCTTAATAAATGGAAAATCAGTTCACAAAAAGTGAGGTTATAATTAATTAGGTTTTTATTTATTTTTTTTTTTATTTAAAAACGTACAAAAATAAATAAAATAAAAATTGGACAATTTTAATTTATTCTTATTTTTAGTAGAAATTTATTTTTGTTTCATGGGACACAAAGTGTGGTTATGATGATGATTTTATTTAAAAAAATATATTAATTTTTTAAATTGGTGGCACAAAAAATAGACATTTTTGTGCTTAATAATATTGGAACAGAACAAAAAAATAACAGAGAAACAAATATTTTCACATATTAAAAAAATTGAAAATAAAAATAAATAATGAAAATAAAAATAAATTAAATGTTAAATAAAAAATATTAAAAAAAGATAATAAAAAAAAATTAAATGTTACAAAGGGAAAAATAATATATTTTTAAAATAATAATTATAAAATTAAATGTTATAATTATAAACAAAAAGAAAGCATATTTTTCTAAAAAAATAATATACATACGCCGTTTTTTAATGAAAATGAAATTTTTAAAAAATGAAACTTGAATTGAATAAATTGTCACACACACATTTTGTAATTTAATAAGGAACAAAAAAACTCTTAAAAAAGAAAACTATTTATTAAACATAAAAAGAAAATGAAAATAAAAAAATACAAAACCAAAAAGGAACAAGGAAATCAAGTTTTGAGAAATGTTTTTTAAACTAAAACAAAAATTAATGTATACCTTAAAAACAAAATTGTTTAAAATATATATATAATAATAAAAAAAAAACAGAAATTAGTTTTATATCTATATATATATTTGAAATGAAATTTACAAAAAAAAATACACTCACACACACAAACAATGATGATGGCGAACAAATAAAACAAAAATAACAAAAAGTACCTTGTTTTAGTATTACAGAAACAAAAAATATATATATATAAATAAATATATGGAGAAAACTATTTAGATAAATAAAATACATGATGATGATAATAATAATTAAATCAATGTAAGCTATTAGAAACAATTTTAAACATACAGTGAGTGCAAAGAACTTCAAATTTATTTTTTTTTTAATTTTATTCTTATTTTTATTAGAAATTGATTTTTGTTTCATAGGACACAAAGTGAGGTTATGATGATGATTTTATTAACAAAAAAATAAACATACAAAAAATTAGGTTAATTTAGTTAATAAAAAAATTATAAAATCTTGAACATACTTTGCTACAAACAACCTCAATTTAAAATAAAATAATTATTTTGTTTTTGAAGGACAAATATTGTTTAAACAAAAAAAACAAAATTGAGGTTAGGGTTGAAAATACTTTTTTTATATTTTTACAAAAAAAAAACACAATACAAAATTAGAAAATCTTGAACATACAGTGCTACAAACAACTTCAATTTATATAACAAAAAATTATTTTTGTTTTTGGAGAACAACAATTGTTTAAACTAAAAAAACCAAAATTGAGGTTAGGGTTGAAAATATTTATTTTTTAATATTTTTACATTTTCTTTATGATTTAGATATCGTATGGGGTATATGTCATGTGTGTTGGTCCTGATTTTAGGTACTTTGAAAGTAGTAACAAATATTCTATAAATTACCTTTAATTCGGTATTTCATGTAGGTTAAGGAAGTTCTCTGTAAACTGTCGGTATAGTACTTTATGGTATATGTTCCACATAATGGAAGGCCCAGCCGTTTCTTCAAAACATATATTTTTCAAGATTTTCGCGTATTTTTCTCAAAATTTTCTTTCATACTTCAGTTACAGCTAACAGAAAGAAATTTTTAGTCAAATCAGTAACGTCGTTCTCAATTGATGAGTTGCTATACATTCTTTACATCATTTGTTTAATCTTTTCTTATGTATGAATTGGTGTCGGAATACTTAACGTCGATTAAGCACCCAATCTCTAATCGGGCAAAACACAAAGAAACTATATAGCGCGGCATCTGTCGGACGAACTTAAAACGCCCCAGAGAACATATCGAGCCATATTCGCCAAAAAAACGTAACCCTCAAATTTGAAATTTTACAGTAGAAGGTTTGTTTTAATAAATTCAGATTTAATAAAGCTATCATTTTGAAATTTAGAACTATAGTTTAAAACAAAACTAGTTTATAACAAAACTATAGTTCTAAATTTCAAAATAATAGCTTTATTAAATCTGAATTTATTAAAACAAACCTTCTACTGTAAAATTTCAAATTTGAGGGTTACGTTTTTTTGGCGAATATGGCTCGATATACACAAAGTTTGGTCAAAATCGGTGCAGTAGTTCTTGAGTTACGGCGCAAAAACACAAAAAACTATATATTGCGCCATCTGTCGGATGAACTTCAAACTATCCAGAAGCACTCTTCACGCTCCATAGAGCATTTACACACAATTTGATACAAATCGGTGCAGTAGTTTTTGAGTTCAGCGATTACGAACATACTCGTAATTTATATATATATATAAAGATAAAGATTTAATTTTGAATATTTTAATTTTTGCATTTTACAAATTCTAAACTTCAAATGTTTTTTTTTTCTGCAAATTAAGTAACGATAAGTTCTTTAAAATTTGAAGCAGTTTCAGTTAATTTAGAATTTATCTAAAAATTTTCAAGATTTTGTGATTTCATTACATAAACTGCACTGAATTCAGTACGCGGTGCAAATTTTTTACATAAAATCGGACGAAGCTATATATGAGAGCTATGTCTAAATCTGAACCGATTTCAACAAAACTTTACAGACATCAAACTGGACTGAATTCAAAACGCTCTGGAAAATGTTGGCTCAATCGGGCAAATTTTCTGAGTTTGGTGCACCACTTACATAAAATCGGATATGGGAGCTATATCTAAATCTGGACCGATTTCCACAAAACAGACATCAAACAGGAGTTAATTCAGTACGCTGTGCAAAATTTTGTCACAATCGGACAAATATTGGACGTCTGGTGCACCATTTACATAAAATCGCACGAAACTATATATGGCAGCTATATCTAAATCTGGACCGATTTTCACAAAACGTCATAGACTTCAAACTGGACTGAATTTAGTACGCTGTGCAAAATTTTGTCCAATCGGACAAAATTTCTGAGTTTCGTGCACCATTTACATAAAATCGCACGAAACTATATATGGCAGCTATATCTAAATCTGGACCGATTTCCACACAACTTCACAAAAAGAAATTGAAAAAAATTGCTCGTACCGGCAATTTTCTGGCAATTCGTTTTGTGTATTTTGTTTGTAGTGTCAGTAGTTTGAAATACCAATCTAGAACATTTTCACAAAATGTCGAAAAAAAAAATATGTTTGAAACCGAATTGCCTCTACACACATGAAGCAAGTTCAAAGGAGAACGATAAGTCTGCTTTTCCACAGACAAATTTTTATCTGGCAAATACTGAGTTTGTAGGCCAAATAAGTGACTTGTGAAAAACAAAAATTTCATCCTGTTCGATTTTGAATTATACAGGGAATTTTGAAACTTAAATAAATTTTGAATTGACATTTCCTTTGAACCTATTTTTAAAATTTTTAAAATGCAAACACTTTTGACTTTTATTTTCTGTTTTTGTATTTTGATTCGCCTTAAAGAAATGTTTATTGAAAAAAATTCCATTTTAAATGTCTAGGTATCAATCCTCCGAAGACTTTTTTGTTCAGTTATGAATTAATGCCTTGCACCAAAAATGGAATATTGAATAAAATTAAAAAATAAATAAATTCTAAATTTTGAATATGTTATAAATATTAAAACATTTATTATAGACAATTAAATTTTTTTGAAGCCATAACCTCACTTTTTCCACATAACCTCACTTTTTGTTCAATACTCGAGAAAATACACTTTTTCATATTTGTAGCAATGTACGAAGCAACAAAAAACTAATAAAACAATACGCAAATGAAAATAAATAGAAAAACATAAATAAATTACACAGTATTGACTTTTTTGTTATTGTTAAATTTTTAATGTTAGGTTATGAATGACCGAATAATGGCGCTATATATCAATAATTATAATAATACATATATGTAGTATCCGTATATTTTTTTGTTATATGCCTATGGAAACAGCGCAATATTAATGGATTATTATTTTTAATTTTTTATTTGACAATATTTTTTTATATCTAATTTTTTTTTATCGTTTGTTTTTGAAACGTAGACACTAAACACTACAAATGTTTATGGAGGAAATAAAATAAAAATAATAAAAAGTAAACAAAAAAAAAAGAGAACAGAAAATTTAATCTACATGGTAATTGTTATTTTTTAAACAAATGAAAAAATAAAAAAATTAAAATTTTATAAAAAAAATACTACATCGTTATGTATGATGATGGATGATGATATTGGTTTTTGCCTAATTTTTAAAGAGTTCTTAAAAAATAATTTATATTTAAGTATACAATAATAATAATAATTAATATTTATATAAAAAATGCTACACAATATTTATATATATAAAAAACACTTCACTTCGGCGCATACATACCATCAACGGGTACCCAAAAATGTTGATGTCGCACACACACACAGACACATTCACTCAAACATGATGGGCGATGAAGACATTCGAAATTGTTGAAAATGGGTACACGTTTGGTCTTTTGTTTTTGTTTTTGTTTCTGTTTTCTTTTTTTTTAACTTAAGCTTACTTATAATATGATGATCATTATGTTCTTGTTGCTGTCGCAAATGAGGCGACTCAGATCGACAACAATGTGGATGCGAGTTTATCATATATGTAATCAAGACATCTATCTCTAAAGATATTTAAAAATTTATAGAAAAGCAAAAAACCACTTTTTTATGTTTGCGATAAATGTACACAATGGGCATCTTGTATTAGTTGAGTTAGTTTTTGTGAAAATGTTGGAATGTCCTGTTGAATAGAAAAAATAACAAACACAAGAAATTAGAACAATATATTATATTAAAATAAAATGCTTTATAAAGAAACAAACAAAAAAAGAAAATTTACAAGTTGGTATAAAAAAATAATAAATAATAAGAAATTTGAATAAAAATAAATGTTTTTAAATGATGTGAAATATTAATATAAAATCTGTTTTATTTTATAAGGGCGGGCGGGTTTTCTAAAGAATAAATAATAAATACAAATTTTCAAGGATTTTTAAAAGAATAGTCTTTCAAGGGCTCAACCAGGCGTGAATTTTTAACAAAATATTTTTCAAGGGCCAACTCAGGCGTGGATTTATTAAAGAATATTTTTCAAGGACTACCACAAGGCGTGGTTTTTTAACAAAATATTTTTTCAAGGACTACCACAAGGCGTGGTTTTCTAACAAAATATTTTTTCAAGGGCCAACTGAGTCGTGTATTTATTAAAGAATATTTTTCAAGGGTCAACTCAGGCGTGGATTTATTAAGGAATATTTTTCAAGGGTAACTGTAGCGCGGATTTATTAAACAATTTTTTTCAAGGGCCAACTGTGGCGCGGATTTATTAAAAAACTTTTTCAAGGACTACCACAAGGCTTAGGTAGGGGTTTGGTCATTAAATCAGCTAGTTGATTCTCAGAATGTTGCAATGTTGATATTAAACCTTCCGTGACCTTTTCACGCACGAAGAAATGTTTCAAGTCGATGTGTTTTGTACGCTTATGAAATTCTGAATTCTTTGTCGGACGAATTGCAACGGTATTGTCAATTTTTATCACTGGAATTTCATTGTAATTCCCTATATCCTTTAAAAGTCTTTTAAGCCATATTATTTCTTTTGAATCTTCACTTGCAGCAACAATTTCTGCTTCAGTTGTTGAAGTTGACACGGTTGGTTGCCGTTGACTTATCCAAGATATAGCTCCACTTGCAAAGGTGGCAACAACACCTGTTGTGGATCGTCCAGTGGTTACGCATCCGTCGAAATCAGCATCACTATAACATTCTAATATCTTTGGTCTTTGCTTCTTATAAGCTATTCCAACATCTATGGTACCAGCAATATATCTAAAGACTTGTTTAAGTCTCTGAATATCTCCAGCAGTTTAGTTTTCAAGATACCTTGATAAATAACCAACGCTATATGCCAAATCTGGTCTTGTTCCCAACATTAGATACATGAGAGCACCTACTGCTTGTTAATATGGAAATTCAATTGTTGCTTTTCCTGCTCTTGTATCACATTTGATTGTGTTTTCCATCGGCGTTGAATTATTTCTGAATTAAATCTCTTCAGAATTTCTGCGATATTTTGAATTGATCATCGCTGTTTTTTTATTTCGATACCAAGAAAGTATTATGCGTCATTGCTAACAATTTTGAACTCCGATTTTAAATTCTGAAGAAAATAGCCCAATTCCATTTTGTCCGAAGCAGCAACTAATCGATCATGAACATAGAGAGCAAGGATCAGCTTTTTAGCACATTTCTCCCTAATATATAAACAACTGTCTGCGGATCTGGTTTCAAACCCAAGCTTCATAAGGAAATTTTCCATTCGTTGGATCCAGCATCAGGGTGCTTGCTTCAAGCAGTATAAACATCGTTTTAAAAGGCAAACTCTATTTGTGCCAACATTCTTGCTACTGGATCATCGTAGTATACTCCTTCTTTTTGCTTTAATTCTTTTATAACCAATCTTGCCTTGCATCAATACTGCCATCTGCTTTTGTTTTGACTCGATAAACCCATTTCTCGAATCTTCTTTTGTGAAGATTCGAGAGTACCCAGGTATTGCTTTACATCAATGAATTCATCTATAATTTCATGGGTTGAATCCAATCGTTTCTCTCTCTCTACTTTCAACAGCTTCCGAATAACTTGATGGAAGTTCGATTTGATGTTTTGAAACTATAATAGTTCGATTTCTCAACCTTTTTACATTAATATTATCACATGTGCCATCTAAGGCATCTCTATTACGTTTTCCAGTTTGTATTTCTTCAAAACCTTCAAAATCTTCCATATCAGATGTAGAATCTTGAGCCTGATTTTCACTTTCATTGTCCTGCTGGACCTCATCTTGGGCCTCATCTTTTGAACTGTCGTTTAGACGAATTCGAATTGGTATTTCATCTCCTTGCGTTTGTTGAATATTAGTGGAAATCTTTTAAAATTTCTTGTTCTGATGCCTTTCTAAAACCAAAACCTTCAATTTCTTCTGAAAATATCACATCTCTGGATATTTCTACGGTATTTCGCTCTTTGATGTAGACATGATATCTCTTATCGCCGTCATATCCAACAATATATCCAATTATTGTCTTTCTATCCATCTTCTACCGGCGTTGACTGGGAATATGAATATAGCATTTTTATCCGATTATACGGAGGTTTGTTGTTCATGGCTTATTTCCATACCATACAAGGCTCACAGATTTCATTGTTTTTCTTTACCCTTATTTCCATCTCATTTACTAGTTTCTTCTTAACGTACTGTTTATCTTGGTGTCCCCATCTGTCATGATATAATTACAGCTTCGACTTTTCTATTGAACTTGAAGCACATAGATTTACAGACATCTGATGAAAATCAACTCTATATAAAGTTCCATTTGCCACTCTACCACTTTTTAATAAATAAATTATAAAAAAAAATCTAACTCACCGTTGTTGAACATATTTCATCAATTAATTTCATATTTATTGGTAGACCGGCATTGGCAAAACTTTCACGCATTTTCAATGCATCCACCTGTGACATGGCAAACAGGGCACTTGCCAAAATATCGAAGTGTAACGCCCCCTCACCGGACAGCAAAACATTTATGAGAGCACTTTGAAATGAGGGCAGTAGCTCTTTAAATAATGGTCTCTGATATAAACGCCATTTCTCGTGGACATTTTGCATTGACATTAACACGGTGCGCACAATATTCGGATCATTACCGGTAACCAATATCTGACCATAGGCATTCATTATGGCCATAAAATGTTCTTGCCGTTTGTTATCACTTGACAGATGCATTGTCGAGTTTGATGTTGCATTGTTGCCATAGAAATACTGCCATTTACAGGTGAGGATACTAGAGAAGAGTTAGAGAGAATTTTTAATAATTGGTTTATGAAATTCTCAGTGGGTGGGAAAAGCCTTGAACATACCTATCAAATAAACCATAAACCACACTTGCAATATCCGACGTATCGGCTAGATTATTATCCATCTGAACCATTGGCATTAAGTGTTCAAATGTAAAGTCAAGAATTGATGGCAACATGGCCAATGATGCACTGCCTGGTTGTTGAACAATTAATTGGAACATTTGTAGAATTTTTTCCATAACTGCAACACGACTTACGGTCAATTGTTGTCTGCAAAAAAAAGTAATATAAATAATATTTAAATTACAATTTTTTTTTATTTATTTATTACTCACCTACTGTTAACACTAATAAAAAGTGTTATCATTTCCTTAATAAACTGTGAGCCCAATTGACTTTGTAGAGTACGTAAAACACTTAAACTAAATTCCGCAATAGTAATCGCCAGGGCATTACTACTTTGACCAAATGTATTGTAAATGACTAAAGCTTTTGTTAAGATTGGCTGCAAGACAAAAGAAAAGAAACGAAACAAGAATATTAAATAGAAATGAAATAAGGCTATAAATGTGGGAATAAAATATATGTATCCCTACTCACCTTAAACGTTTGGGCCAACATGTCTTTTGTGGTATTTGGAGAGTCTTTAAAGAATTCAATAACTAAACTAAATGTTACCAATAAACTTAACGATATGGAAGATACTTTTGCCTCGCCCGTTGCCGGTGACACCGAATTCAAATCCAATTCCAGGAAACTCTGTGCAATACAGCTGATATATTCTTTCAGAATTTGACAACGTCTGCTGTAGTCCTGCTGCTGTTCGTGGACATTCTTCCAGGGTAATACTAAATAACTAATTAGACTTATGTAAATATTTGCAATAACTTGACGTGGTAAATGCGATAGACGTGGACCCGATTGCATTAGATTGGCAATTGTCGGTATATCCAATAGGCATTTGGGACGTATCACAGATGATATACAGAGCAACAATTGACTTGCTGCCATATAAATTAATGGCGATGAACCCATTATGGTATTGGGTTGGAAGATATTGCCCAACGATTCGAAAAGTTGTAATAGCATGTGATCCGATTTCAGGGATTGACACAGCGGTAAAATGCTACGTATGGCCATAAGAACTTGAGCATATCTGCAAAAAAAATTAAATTAATAATTAATTTCAAATTTAGATTATAAAAACCTACAAATAATCATAATCAGTCTGAAATGTTGAACGATCAACATCGATGGCATTTAATTTGTTGCTGGTAAAAAATTTCAATGTTGTCAAGAGATTATCGGCTAATATATTTAAATGGCAGTTAACTTCGGAGGCGGCATCAGTTGCGGCATTCAAATCCAGTAATGGTGCTATTCTTACCACAGCCTGACACACCGTGGCAAAGTCTTTCAAATGTTCGGCGAATAATTGAGATCGTAGCTTACGCATTACTTCAAATGTTTTGCCACAATCGATATCATTTTCAATGGATTGCAGTTGTATGTGTGGTCGGGACCAATGGCTAAATACTTGAGCGAATACAGCATTGGGTCGTGACTCCGCCACCAAGGCAATACATTCAATACATTGGGTTAGATATTGCTGCCATTCGGTTTGAGTCTGAAAATAGAGAGGGGGGAAATAAGATAAAAAAAAAAGGGATTAAAAAAATATAAGCTTTGTTAAAAATTCACGCCTTGCTAGTTCATGAAAAAATAATTTGTAAAAAATCTACGCCCCTTTTGGGTTCCTAAAAAAATATTCTTCTAAAAATGAAAAATCTTTGAAATATCCCCAACTGTTGTTGCTTGAAAAAATATTTTTTTAAGTCCACGCCTTGCTGAGTTCTTGAAAACATATTTTTTTAAATCCAAGCCTTGCTGAGTTTTTAAAATTTTTTTTTTTTTAAGTCCACGCTTTGCTGAGTGCTTGAAAGCATATTTCTTCAAGTCCACGTCTTACTGAGTTTTTGAAAAAAAAAATTAAGTCCACGCTTTGCTGAGTGCTTGAAAAAATATTTTTTTTAAGACCGCGCCTTGCTGAGTGCTTGAAAACTTATTTCTTTAAGTCCAGGCCTTACTGAGTTTTTGAAAAAAAAAAAATTTTTAAGTCCACGCCTTGTTGAGTCCTTAAAAATTATCTTTTTTAAGTCCACGCCTTGTTGAGTCCTTAAAAATGATCTTTTTTAAGTCCACGCCTAGTTGAGTCCTTAAAAATGATCTTTTTTAAATCCACCCCTTGTTGAGTCCTTGAAAAAATATATATTTTTAAAAATCCACGCCTTTTTGAGTCCTTGAAAAAGTAGAATTTTAAAAATGCACGACTAAATAGCTCTGAGAAAGATTGTTTTAAAAAAGCCACCCCTAAGGACCCTTTAAATTATTATTTCTCCATTGTTTTAATTTAAAATTTTTAATATATAATAATAATACTTACATTATCCTCCATTAGCTCATTGTCAAGCAATTCCAGTTCAGTCTTGTTATATTCAAACTGTGTGCGACGCATTATTTCACCCACCAATTGATGTATTATATCATTGTAACGATTCAATTTTGCATTCATACTCAAGCCCTTAATGATGGGTGTCCAAATCTCCAATTTTTCCGTGAAATCATAGGCTCCGTTTTCTGTAACACAAAACATACAAAAAAAGCACAGAATTAATATTATTAAAATAATAAAACTAATGTCCTAACACTCACCACATATCGTACAAGTATATAGGGCCTTTAAAAACACCTCCAATACCGTTGATTCTTGTAACATTTTTTGCCAATACTTAACCGCATAGAGACGCAGTAATTCACGAAATTTATCAATATACATTTCACTTTGCTGTTTAGAGGTATTATGCTGTTCCAAGAGGACATTAACACCATTCATTAGTGTCAGACTGCAGGGTAATGTCTTTTGTAAATACAACAGCTCGTTAAGAACCGACAGACCGGCCAATGACAAGTCTTGATGTGCTGAACGCCATTGTGATATATCCAATATGGACATAAGAAAATATTCAGATATTAAATCAGTTCGTATCCATGATACTAAATGTTGGATACACGTTAGCAGTTCTAACACAGAGGAACTACAGAGAACAAAAATACACATATTATTTTATTTAAATGTTACGAGATTAAAGTTTGATTTACATTTACCTTAATTGATTGTCATTTGGCAGCGTTGCTATTAAACTATAATCCATGAGAGTATTTGATATGGAATGAATGTCTTTGCCATTAATATGACACACAGCTATTAGTAAATATTTTGTTAATAAATCCATTATTTCAGGCATACACATGGAAATGCTACAATAGGAGGGAGGCAGGGCGAAACAAGACATGAAAAAAAGTAGAGAAGGTATTACAATCACATTTTATCGTAAATAGAAGAATTTAAATCCATTTATATTTTTTATCGTATTTCCACACTTTTTTAAGTTATGAAAAACAAAATATTATACGAAAATGAGTCACTGAAAACTGCCCTGACTGTATCATTCACGTTGTATAGGCCACGTTTTCACGGGACTTTAGAAAAAAATCTAAGCTATTAATAAATCCACGCCTTGTTGAGTCCTTGAATAAATATTCTTTAAAAAAATCTAATCCTTGTAGAGTCCTTGAAAAAACTTCCTTTAAAAAATCTAAGCCTTGTAGAATCCTTGAAAAAAACTTCCTTTAAAAAATCTACGCATTATAGAGTCATTGAAAAAAATTTTCTTTTAAATAATCTACGACTTGTTGAGTCCTTGAACAAAAAATGTTCTTTAAAATAATCTACGCCTTGTTGAGTCCTTGCAAAAAATATTCTTTTAAAAATCTACGCCTTGTAGAGTCCTTGAAGAAAAATTTCCTTTAAAAAATCTACGCCTTGTAGAGTCCTTGAAAAAAAATCTTTTAAAAAATCTACGCCTTGTAGAGTCCTTGAAAAAAATGTATTTCTTTAAATCTATGACTTGTTGAGTCCTTGAAAAAAATTTCCTTTAAAAAATATACGCCTTGTAGAGTATTTGAAAAAATATTCTTTAATAAATTCACGTCTTGTTGAGTCCTTGAAATAATATTCTTTAAAAAAACAACGCCTTATTGAGTCCTTGAACAAAAAATGTTCTTTAAAAAAATCTACGTCTTGTTGAGTCCTTGCAAAAAATATTCTTTTAAAAATCTACGCCTCAGGGTCCATTCAAAAATATTCTTTAAAAAAAATTACGCCCTGCTGAGTCCTTGAAAAAATGTTCTCTAAAAAATCTCCGACTTCCTGATCCATTAAAACATGTGGCTGTAGTTTGGCATTGTGTGACCTTCGAACCGGCTGAACTTAAAAAAGTTCTCACTTATAATTATATTTTTTCCCCTAACTAGGAGCTATTTTTTCATAAACGTACAACAAATACACAATGTCGGGATACACATAAGATTGGTGGCAGCCACACACATTAAAAACATATCGAATGGATCTTAAAATAAATTCAGTCAAACTCCCATACAAACAAACAAAAATAAAAACAACAACTCACTATCATTTTTTCACTCTCTATTACTCACCAGGAATGAAAATATTGTTTTCGATCAGTACTAACATCTTCACGATTACTAACCACCTCCTCAGATGTGGTACGCAATAGGCACAGGCCTAAAACAAAATTCGATTTGATCAAAGTGATACAGTGGGCAATATAATTCGGATCTTCATCGGGAAATTCACGTTTTCCCATGTGAGCGATTAGCTGAGCATAGGTGTCACGTTGTCGTTTCACTGTGGACACCGGCGATAAACCGATATAGGTACGCCATAGAGTCTCACGGATTGCCAGACGATCAGAACTGCCCAGCTGCATCCATCGACGCGTTATCGAATGTTCCAATGTTGAGGTGCAGAAAAACCATAGAAATTGATTTTGTTCAAATGTGCCGGCATTACTGATCACACTCAGACATGTCTTCCAGGCATCGGATTGATTTTTAAAGGCGATTAAATCGGATTCTATTTCTCGTTTGCGATTATTAGGTGTGGCCGGGGCATAGAATTCATGTAACAATGAATCCACCAAAACTAGGGGGGAGGACTGTAATGAGAAAACAGAAAAGGAAAAATATTTGTAATTCCATTTTTGTTTTCAATTTCAAAATCGATTTACCATTTTTGGACTCCCAAGGAAATTTCAATTTGTGTTGTCTTTTTTTTGTATTTCGTAGTTTGTTTTCTATTTTATGGCCACCACAATCTACCAAGTTTTGTGTTTTTTTCTGTTGGAGACACAGACAGCCACTCACTAGCAATTGTCCCCGTCGTCGTCTTTGTCGCCTTTAATAATAGTCGTGTGGGTTTGGCTGCTTACTGTATAAAAGGGTTTCTTTATTTTTTTTTCAGTTAGGAGTAATTTGTTGTTATTTTTATATCAACAGTCTATTGGCCATTTAGATTATATCTTTACGGTATTTTATTTATTTTGTTAATTATTTATTTGGCTTCTACAACGTAAATCTCGTAAAAAATCTCCTGCTGAAATTCTTATTCGCAATTTAGGGATAAGTAAATCGACTTTCGATCAATCGATTAATCGACTTTTTGTATTGAAATACTCTCAATTGTTAGGGATGGGACAAATTTCTTGGTTATGCAGACAGTGATTCAAATATATATACAAAAGACGGTGTTCGCTCAGAAAATTTTGTATGGGGAACTAAGTAATTATTTCATAATTAAGGGTCGAACAACGAATGAGAGAGGAAACAAAGCTCGTCTGTACATGGCATTAATTCGCAAATCTAAGAACCTGGCCATACTGATTTGTTTTTGTAACGGCGTCACGTAATGTAACGCGCCAATAACAGCACATCTCATTGCAATTAGACGGCGTTCATGTTTCAAGCAGTGTTCGCAAAAAAACGGTACACTATCGTAGTGTACCGTACCAGGAACACAAACACTAAAAAATTTTTAGCGTTAGTGTTCCGGTACACAAACATTAAAAAATATTTTAGTGTTACTGTTCCGGAGCACAACGAAATTCGTAGTGTACCGCGGTCGGAGCACTAAAAATCGTAGTGTACCGCTGTCGGAACACTAAAAAACCGTAGTGTACCGCGGTCGGAACACTAAAAATCGTAGTGTTCCACTGGCCGGAACACTAAAAATCGTAGTGTTCCATTTGGCGGAACACTAAAAATCGTAGTGTTCCACTTGGCGGAACACTTAAAATCGTAGTGTTCCATTTATCGGAACACAAAAAGATGTATTAATTATATTTTATTTTTTGTATGAATACAATTTATATATTTTTTTAATAGATTTAATAAATAGAAAACTTGTTAAATTTGTATTTGTTTATATTTTATTAAAAATTAGTAATATTTTATTAGCATCTACAGTTTAAAATAATAAATATTTTATAACTAAAAAAGGTCGTCGAGTGAAAATTCAATCTGATGCCAACTCGCAACTGAAAATACCATTGGATTACATTTTCGCTGATAATCGATTGCGCTGATCGGAAAAATGTATTGCATAAGACTACCTGTGCAAAAAGCATAAAGAATATGTGGTTTTGTAAGATTTATCCCAAAATCATAAAATTTTTTTTTTCATACCCGCGTAATTTGTACACTTCTTTTAATGAATAAGCAGGTAATAATTATGTTGATTGTGTGACAATCACCAAATTTTGAATATTTTTGCTAAAATTTCCTAAAAGTATGAATCATAGATGGATGCAGGTATAATTGTTTTAAGAAAAAAATTTTCGTACTAGCATTTTACAAGGAGATCTCCCAATATTATGGAAAATATGTTCGTTGTGTAAATTAATGAAAATGTTATCCTAAGCTGTATAATTTTGTCACAAAAACTGGCCAAAATACCTATTTCAAATGGACATTTTCACTTTTTTAATTGCAAGTAAACTTATATTCAGTATTATTTTTTTTTATTATTTGATCTCATTTTACCTCAAAAAAAAAAAAAAAACAGACGTGGAACGCTACGATTTGTATTGTTCCGACCAGTGGAACACTACGATTTTTAGTGTTCCGGCAAGTGGAACACTAAGATTTATAGTGTTCCGATAAGCGGAACACTAACATTTTTAGTGTTCCGTCCAGAGGAACACAACGATTTTTAATGTACCGCAGTCGGTACACTAAGATTTTTAGTGTACCGCTGTCGGTACACTACGATTTTTTAGTGTACCGCAGCAGGTACGCTAAGATTTTCGTTGTGCTCCGGAACAGTAACGCTAAAAATATTTTTAGTGTTTGTGTACCGGTACAGTACGTTATTTTAGTGTACCTATCCACCTTGGTACGGTACAGAACACTATGGAACGGTACCATAATGTTTATTTTCGAACGCTGGTTTCAAGTGCAGCAATAACGGTATCATTCTTGGGGTTGCACACATATCTGGCGTTTAGCGTTTTTATAGCAGACGGCGTCAAATGTTATCATTGAAAAGGGACACAAAAAAATTAAGGGGACCCCCCATTATTGGTTTAAAAAAAACGATTTTTTTATTTATATTTAATATGAACCATGGTACAATAATTGGCTGATTGGCTTTTACGTTGATTTTGATCTATTGCCATCTAATTTTGGCATATTTACATGATTTGCGATTTTGAAATGTTTCTCTTTTACTAGCTTTACTATTAAAAAGTACTAGAACAGACCATATATTTTCCACACTTTTGACCTTAAACTTGAAAAAACTGCTGACATCCGCTTGCTGTGTGACCTTATGTAGCTTGTTTGGGATAAGGCATATTAATAAATTCATCCGGAAGACTAGTTGACTAGTTAATTCACAATAATGAATTTTGACAGTAAACTTGAGAGACAGCTGATATCCAGATATTCTCTCTTGCTGGCCTTATTAATAGACATTTGCAGATGACTTTCGCTAGCTGGGTCTCCTTATTAATAGATCTTGGACAAGGCCTTTAAATAAGGTCGTCTAGGGAGACCAGCTAGATATCAACTGCCTCTTAAGTTTGATTTCAAAATCCATTATTGTGAATTGACTTTCATTGTTCAAACGTAAACGAAAGCCAAATTTTTGACATTAGACTTGAGAAAAACAGCTGATTTTCGCCTTATTAATAGATCTGGCAACTGACTTTCGCTCCTGTTAACCAGGATTGCAACTTGTAACATTAACCAAAATTATATATGGGTACTGTAAAAAGCTTACCGACTGCATCTGCAAGCATCTAGAACCATTATTAGAACATTACACTTTCAATTAGTTTTATATTTTTTTATATTTATGTATATATAATATTAATCTGGGAAATATTTGTTGCTTATTGGAAAAAAAACTTGTTGTTTTGTAATATTAAATGACATATAATAAATACTACGAGCTTAGTGTTAGAACGAGCTGTAATTCATTATTATTATTATTTATTCCTTTATATAAATACGGCATCTGTGAAATTCCTAGACAAACACTCCTTCTCTCTCTCTCTCTCTCTCTCTCTCTCTCTCTTTATTTTGCCATCAACAATTCAAGTGTTTCCCGTGGGGGTTGGGGCGGGGGCGAAATGTTCATTTTTTATGTTTTTGTAACATTGAAATACAAAAAAATATTTATATATAAATTCATTGTTGAATAAGAGGAGATTGGGCGAAAATGCAATATATCTTGTTTTGAATATTTTTTTTGTTCTGGGTGTTTACATTTTTAAACATGATGTAAGCCTTTAAATTAGAAAGTCGTATGATAGTAAAAAAGTAGTGTAGTAGTAGAAACAATTTTAGGCATGAGATCCACAGTTAAAACATGCGGGGTTTATTTATCGCAGTGGTCTTTGGGGACTACGATCATAAAATATCAAATAGGCTGGTACACTTAAAACTTCATCAATGGATACTTCACGGACCACAGTGTCGGATGTATAAAACCATCTAGAAAAATAACAAAAGAAATATAAATACAAATACACAATGTTGTAAAGTGTTGTCCTGGGCCGGAAATATTTACCTATGACTATTACGCAATGCTCCCCTCCGGTATGTAACAAAATGTCCAGAATGGGCTTCACCCGAATGAACCACAACAGCCAGCAAACGATAGAGATTACGGGGAAACATTGTACCAAATGGTGTGCCATATGAATCATTGACATTACCCATATTCATGGGTAGACTAGAAGAGAATAATGACATAGTTGAACCCCAGGGGGTGCCGGCCTAAACAAACAAAAACAAATTATAAAAATTTGTTTAATTTTATTTTAAAGCAAAGAAAAAAAAACATGCTTTTGATTCGATAACTAACCTGACTATTGAGATGAGGCTGCACAAAACTATATGGTGCCATGGATAAACTTTCAGGAAAATGTACATAATCCTGTCGTTTACATGCTTGCCCGGTGGGCATCCAAACGGTACGAGCTATGTGTATGCACAGGCATGCTGGTAATTTTGCAAATGTCAATGATTTGGTGTGTGTTGTGGTCTCATTACATGATTCGCATTTGACACCGGTGACATCCTCGGAAGTGATATAGTCACTAAGTAAATGACCCAAACTAAGTCCGGATCGTCGTTGTTGTGGTAGATTTAACGATATACTATCGAATTTATCATAACGTACTGCAGACTACAAAAGGAAGGAAGAGGGAAAAAGTTAATGGTGATGAATTTGCGAAGAAAATTTCAATATGAATAAAAATTCAGCCTGGCTGAATATGATTTACTATCGAAAACCCGTTATTTTGATTTGCTGAATATTACTTTCAGAAGAAAAACATTTATTTAGCCTGGCTGAATATGATTTTCTAAAGAAAAAAATTTGTTAACCTGGCTGACCAGGATTTTCTAAAGAAAAACATTTTGTTATAGTGGCTTAATATGTTTTTTTCTTTTCTATAGCAAAATGTTTATTTTGCCTTGCTGAATATGATATGATGATATAATATCGAATAAAAACATTTGGCCTTGCTGAATATGGTTTTCTGAAGAAAAATGTTTATTTAGCCCGGCTGAATATGATTTTCTGAAGAAAAATATTTATTTAGCCTTGCTGAATATAATTTTCTAAAGAAAACATTTTGTTAAAATGGCTGACCAGGATTTTCTGAAGAAAAACATTTTGTTATAGTGGCTGAATATGTTTTTCTATAGGAAAATGTCTATTTTGCCGTGCTGAATATGATTTTCTATAGAAAAACATTTATTTGGGCTTGCTGAATATGATTTTCTATCTTCATTTTAGTTAAATATGATTTTCTATAGAAAAATGTTTAACTCAGCATGGCTGAATATTTTCTAGATAAAGTTATAAAACATTTTTTATTATTTCTATCTACTCAGTATTTCGTCCAACGCAAAAAAAAAACAAAAAAATTATTTTTGTTTTTGTTATGCGATTTTGTACTGAAAAAATATATACTTGCGGTTATTGATTTATTTTTAATTAACTGAGTCATTCAAACTAGGCTTCAATTAAATAATAATAAAAATATCTGCAATTTACCCGCTACGTGTATTGACATAAATATTAAAACAAATTATAGAAAATATCCGTTCGAACTTACCTTATATCCACAGCCATTACAAACAATTTGTGTTCCCATGGCACCTTTGAAAGGATGTTGCACTTGTGTTGGCATTTGATCCGACCATATCTATACACACACACACACAATTAAACAAGAATTAAAAAAAAACTAATTTTATTTAAAAGTTTTCCTACTCACCGAAACTTTTCCCGGTCCTCTTGTCAGCCTCTCCAATGAACGACACGATCCGGAATTTCTTTTATTTAGATTATCGCGTGAACGACTTGCACGACCATTACCCATCATTATTGGTGCAGCAGGTTTAACAAAATCTACTTCCATCATCTCAGTTGGTGTGGATGACATGGGCATTTGTTCCAAGTCCCGTTCACATATTGACGACGGTGAGTCTGGAGTATGGGCTTCTGAACGAACCATACGTGATAGACCGGTGGATTCATCATAATCAGCATTCAGAAAATCACTTAACATGGCACTTGATGGTCGATTGGGTGCATCACCCCGACCATCTTCGGGCAAAGCATCCGACAATGAACCAACTTGTTTGGGTCGATGTGCTTCTTCTTCCAACGTCGAAAGCATAACGTGAAACAATTCATGAGCATCATGTTCCTCCTGTGGTATAACCCAACCGAGGGCGTTAAGGGCACGCAACACGGCACCCGGCGAATAGGGATCTCCACGCAATGTGGTGTGGGTACCATTAATTACCTCCAAAGTGTTCAACAGCGAACTTATCAGACTCTTTTTATCCGGTGATGCATTATTATACAATTGCAGCCAAGCAATAAACTGTGGGCATGCGGCAAAGGCCTGCAGAAGGGTATTTAAAAAACATGTCTGGCCAAAATTGTGCAGGCCAGCAATTTGACCACGTCGTTGACGTAAACGTGAGGATCCTTAAATGACAAACACACACACACACACACACAAAAAAGAACTCATCACATTAGGGGAGGTCTCCAGAAGAAAGAAAGGAAAAAAATACCCCCATTCTAGTACTCACCCGAACCACTGGGTCCCCAAAAAACAAATGCTCCAACAACAGCAGCGACCGTAACGCCAGCTGCCATTAAAATTTTATCGCTTTCCATGTCAAAGTCTAATTTTCCGAATTTATTTTTTTTATCACAATTAAGTCAGCTTCTTAATCTTTTTCATGTTTTGTCCCCCAAAGGAAAAAATGCGAGTTTTGCCTGGCGTTCATCCAGAGAGGAAATATAAAATAGATACCGAAGAAGAAGAACAGCTGTTCTGAACAGCAGCAGCAGGGTTGTCGTTGTCTGAAATGTCATGGTAACTTTTAATAAAGCGTGTGGCAGGTGGCAAAAGTGTGTGGTGTTCAGGGAATTTAAATCGAAAATATCAAGGTCTATATAATAGGTTATCCAGTAAGGACAGCTGATATCTACATATTTTGTCTAACTATGTTGTTTCGATTTGAATTTCAATAAAAAACACACTTACGCTTACAAAAATGCCGAAACGGTTTTTTATTCAAGCAAAAATTTGTTAAAATATGAAAATTATATATTTCAAATCTTAGAAAAATCAAATCAAATTGTTTACGAAAAATTGGTGTGGTGACCAATTCGGGTTGTGCGTGCTTTAATATTTGGAAAATATAAGGATTTTCGCTCCAACTACAAAATTGGACAAAAAATATAGGTGTAAAGTTGTAATTTTGAATGGATTAGCCCTTTGGACCCAGGTAGCGAAAGTCAACTGTTTTATTTTATCAAAACTAAATCAACATTTGGACTTTGTTTACGTTTTCATAATGGAAATTAGTTCACAATAATGAATTTTGACAGAAAACTTAAGAAACAGCTGATATCCAGCTGGTCTCCCTAAATGACCGAAGTGATTATATCAAGATCTATTAATAAGGTCACCCAACTGGCGATGGCAAATGTCAAAAATGTGGACATTATTTACATTTTCATACTGGAAGTCAATCGTAATAATGGGTTTTGAAAGCAAACTTGGGAGTCTGCTGATGTCCAGCTGATCTCTCTGAATGACCTTATTAATAGACCTTGACGCAAAAAACGTCCTAATTTCTTACATTAGACTTGAGAAAAAACAGCTTGCTGGGTAACCAGTATGAATTTGGGTTCTCACAACTCCGCATCAAAAACTAATATTTGAAGCTAGTTTCAGGGTAGCCTCTATATAACGGTAACCCCCAATATTCGGTATTTTGGACACATTTTCAACCGAATTGGCAGCAAATTGGTATTTTGTATTCTTTTTCTTTTTCGGGTTCAAATTTCAATACCAAAAATATTGGTATTGACCCATGTTTCAGGGTAGGCACCCCCAGTAATCAGTGTTTTGGATACATTTTTCAACCATATTAGCTGTAATATGGTATTCTTATTGGGTGTCAAATATCATTACCGAAAATTATCAATACCGATAATTCTTTGGTATAGTTCCATATAATGGTAGCCCCACTAATATTTAGTGTATTGAAAATTTAAAAAATATTTTTCTTGCGTCTTTCAAGGATCTATCATAACATGAGATTTCTTCTAGGAGCCACCACCATTATTTTAAATATTTTTAAAGTCAACCTCGAGGTGCAGGGTATAGAAAGTTCGGCCGGCCATGCATAACATAATTTTTACTTTTTTTCATTTTACCTTTATTTAATACAAATACAAATAACTTAAACAAATTACCTTATACTACGAGGCATTTCTTTTTTTTTAGAAATCATCCATCATCATTGAATCGGCAATAAATTTCTTATAGATATTCATAAATTGGGCCACAAATGCTTCCAAATGGAATATGTGTTTGGCACCATTCTGCATACGATGTTCGTATAGCGTGGCATATTCCAATGTTTTGGCCTTAATCGACATGTCACAGTTCTTAACGAGTTCCTTAACCAAACCCTGAAATATGACATCGGGAGGAACACCCTGAGCCAGCAGTTCATAGAGACGATCACGAACCTTTTCCAATTTAGCTGGTGATTGTTCGGTTAATATTTGATTGGCAGTTTCACGTAGAAAAACTTGCCAATCTAGTTCTACAATATCCTGTTGGGCTGTAAACGGGTACTGTTGTACTTTACATGCTTCCAGCATTAAAATGGCTCGACGTAAATTCCTTTCCGATTTATCGATTATGCGCGTGGCCAACTCCAGGGGTAAAGCAATATTTTCTCTTTTACTAACGGCCTGTAGAACACTGGTCATTTCAGAGGGAGTGGGCGCGGCCACACGTATGCCTAAGCACCTGGACCGAATGGCGGGTATAACGCGTGATGTGGAATTAACCGACAATATAATACGACATGTGGCCACATATTTCTCCATAGTACGACGCAAGGCGTGTTGTGCATCCTTGGTAAGTTCATCAACTTCGGATAGAACAATAACTTTAAAATCCCTTTGTCCATTCGGATCGATTTGATGTGTTTGAGCAACTTGTTTAATTAGATCGATAACAACAACACGATCATATATGCCAGCATCCGAGGGATTCACCTCCAAATGATAATTTGAACCGACTGTCATGATTTCGATTTTACGATTCGATGGTGTCGTGAATGTCATGGTTTCATTGCGTAGTCTTTCGACGCCCGGACCATACAATTCCCGCAGTAGACACATGATGCGTGTTTTCTTACCGGCACCGGATGGTCCATAAAACATAAGATGGGGGAAATCACCTTGTTGGCAGAGGTTTTTCAGGTTCTCAGCTTGTTCCTGAAATGCACATACATGTTTAATTTAGATGTAGCAAGGAAATTTATTAATTTGGATCTTACCTTATGATAGTCCAGCTTCATAAGTTCCCTTGGACGATGTTTGTCTACCCACAGAGCCATGTTTGTATGGGGAGAAGTGTTTTTTTATTTATTCAAAAGAAATCAATTTAGAGGAATTTGCACACAAAAATTGGCATGTAAACAATATTTGGCGCAAAACGTAACTTAATGGCCAGGGTTGCCGTGGTGCTTGAAAATATTGTCAATTGTAGGTAATACATTTCAAACAGATTAACAGAGTTTGTCGTCTAACGCCGAACTAAATACCAATATCAAACGCTCTCAGTGGAAACGAAAACCAGGGAATCCAGCTGGATATCAGCTGGCTTTCAAGTTTGCTGTCAAAATCCATTATTGTGAATTGACTTCCATTATGAAAACGTAAACAATGTCAAAGACATTTTACTTGAGAAAAAAATATTTTTTCAAGCCGTGGATTTTTTAAAAATATTTTTTCAAGGCATGGATTTTTTAAAAATATTTTTCAAGTCATGAAATTTTTAAAAATATATGTTCAAGGCATGGATTTTTTAAAAATGTTTTTTTTTTTCAAGGCATGGATTTTTTAAAAATATTTTTCAAGGCATCGGTTTTTTAAAAATATTTTTTTAAAGCATTGATTTTTTAAAAATTATTTTTAAAAGCATGGATTTTTTAAAAATATTTTTTCAAGCCATGGATTTAAAAAAAAATTCAGCGAAGTCCAATATTAAGTCCAAAATGTTGACATTTGACTAGAGAAAAATAACAGCTGGCTTTCGCGCTTTCTTGGCAATGAAGTAGAAAAATAATAATAACAAAACACGGCAACCCTGTCCTCTCAAAAAATCATCATCTGTTTATTATTTACATTGAATAATTCACGTTTTTTTGTGTTAAAACAAAAACATACAAATAGTAAAAAAAAATATTTTCCTAAAAGATGACAACTGCTAGTGGAAAAAGCCAAAGGAAACACTCCAAATTGATATGTCTGCCCGGCCAGCGTCTTTGTCTATCCGATGAGAATACAATATCTGGCCAAGGAACATATGAACGGATGGGCTATATTTATGCCACACTGGCCGGCACGGTGCACATCAACGAAAAGGATAATGTAAGTTACAACAAGATTTAAATCCTATTTCCCATTTAATGGAAATCCCCCGCTGTATTTCCAGTGTAAATTCATTGAAGTTCAATGTGCTGGAAGTCAAACAATTGTACCCGTGGCCGGTGACATTGTAACGGCACGCGTTCTCCAAGTCAATCAACGTGCTGCCAAATGTTCAATTCTGTGTATAGGTGAACATGTTTTGGAACAAAATTATCGTGCTATTTTACGCAAAGAGGATGTTCGTGCCACGGAAAAGGATCGTGTTGAAATGTATAAATCATTTCGTCCGGGTGATGTTATTTTAGCCAGAGTGGTAGGTTTTTGTAAAATAAAAAAAAAAATAAAATCTGTAATGTTTGGTATTTTCTTTTTTCTTAGCTACCACAAACCGAATTGTCTTGCTATCAACTGAGTACAGCTGAAAATGAATTGGGTGTTGTCATAGCCATATCCAGTGAAAGTGGTCCAAATGGTCCACCAATGGTACCCATTAGCTGGACCGAAATGCAATGTCCAAACACCTTGGTGAAGGAACCGCGAAAAGTTGCAAAAATTGTACCAGCCAGTGCTGTGAAAACAGAGAATTGAAATATTAATACAAATATTTAGATATATATAGAAATGTGTAATTTTAGGTATTAATTTTTTTATAAACGAAAAAAGAAGGTCATGACTAAAATAAATAAAAAAAGAAAAAACATTCAAGATTATGGTATTTATTATTGAGACATTTAAAACGAACGAGACAAAAGGCAAAATTACAGCTACTTCAGTTAAAAATAATGGAGCGATATTGACAATTTTCTGCGGACGTTTTTTTTTTATCAAAATCATGAATAGCCAAATTACTTCCATTTCGGTTGCAATATAAGGATTGTGGAAATATTCATATGAGACTGAAATTCTCAAAATACCGAAAATGGGTAGAATTTTTATATGGGTGGTATACCTCTTGAAATCTTATTGGTAAAAAATCCATCTCTTTAATTCGTATTTGTAAAAAATCTACCTCTTGAAATCTTATTTGTAAAAAATCCACCTCTTGAAATGTTATTTAAAAAAATCCACGCCTGAAAAAATATTTTAAAAAAAATCTACGGCTTGAAAAAATATTTTTTTAAAAATCTACGCCTTGAAAAAAATATTCTTTTAAAAATCCCCGCCCCTTGTTGAGTCCTCGAAAAAAATTGAAAAAAATATTCTTTTTAAAATATAAAAATATTCTTTTAAATTTTTCTTCTTCTTTTTGAAAACACAATAAAAAATATTTTTTGTTTTGTATTTTATTATAACCATATATATATATATATATTTGAAACATATACACATATTTCGGAAAATTCAGTCAATCAAAAAATAAAATATTACTCAGATTAAATTGTGAGATATTTGAGAGATTTTTAAATTATATTAACAAGAAAAAAATGATGTAGAGAAAAAACACAAACCAATGTCCTGGAGAGTTAGAGGATACTTAAAAATTAATAATAATAATGTTATAATATTGTGTAATTAACAATAAACAAAATGCTATAAACTGATACACTGCACATAAAATAAAAACTAATAGAGAAAAATTAATACACTAAGATTTAAATTAAAACTAATGAAGTAAGAACCAAAAAAAACATGATTTTTTAATAAGAAAAAAGTAAAACAATATCGGCTATCGTTATTGGAATTTATTTACACAATTGTTAAGAGATGCTTATTTTTTCAATATAAAGAAAATACATTTTGGAAAATACAGATATTGATGATGAAAAAATACTAAAAAAAGACAACAGATATTTCAAGGGTATGGTTTTTTTAATTTTTACATTTTGATAATCAAAACTTGCAGTGTTATGAGTAGCATTGCATTCAAATGTCGCTTTGGATATTTGATTTTTTTCGTTATAATCTTATAATATACAAAAAACATATTTGAGAAGTGAGCTATGCAATCGAATAATATTACTTTTGAATGATACAAAATAAAATTCAAATATATATTTTTTTAAAAATTTACTTAAAATTTATAATAACGAGTTGTACATTTTTATTTAAATGTAGTTAAAAAAACAAATTTAATTAAAAAAAGTTTTCTAAATGCATTCTTTTGTTGTTGTCAATTAAATGTATGTCTTTTTTTAAATTTAAATTAAAAAAAAAAAACAAATAAAAAAGTTTACAGCCAAATTGTTCCCGCCGAGTATATGCCTTTAGGAATTTAATACAAAAAAATATACCAAATAGATTCGATATAATTTTTTAGTACATTTACCTTTATGGTGCGGACATTACCTCAATTTTTTTGATATTTTTTAAATTTAAATATTAAAACTATTAACATTTATTTGATGTATTTTTTTGGAGCAAGTTTTTTTAGACATTAGAAATAATTTAAATCTATAAATAACCTCAATTTCTCGTTTTCTTGCAATTATAAAAATTATTATATTCCACCATTGTACAGACAGGCATAAACATATATTCGTAAATTTTGATTTGTTTTTTTTTCTCATCCCAGAGACATAACCACAAATTCTTATTATTTTCTAATATAAATAAAATTGAAATATTAAATTTATTTGAAATATATTATTGTTACGGAAGAACAGAATTTAAAAAAGTTTGCAGTTAATTTGTTTAATAAAGCACAAAAGTTCAGACATAACCTCAAATTCTCAATTTTTGTATTTTGTAACGGCTTAAGATATGTATGAAAGTATATTTATGTTATGTAATTTGAAAATACCATAATGAGCAAAAAATTTCCAGTTAAAAAATATGATTATGTATGAAGATATTTTTTTTGAGGTTATATCGAAAGATATTTGAGTTTATGTCTGATATACCCTCTGGCATATAAAGTACAAAACTCAATAATAATATTTTTTTTCTGTAAAAACAAAACAACAAAAATTTGAATGTAAAATAAAAAAATTATAGTTATGACTGAAGATATGTTTTTGAGGTTATGTGTGAAGTTATGTTTTTGAGGTTATGTCTGATGAAGACATATTTTTTTTGGTATATGAAGTGTGTTTATGTTATGTAATTTACGAATACCATAATGAATATATTTCCAGTTAAAAAAGTATATAATTATGTATGAAGATAGTTTTTTTTTGGAGGTTATGTCGAAAGGTAAGGTCTCTGATAAACCCTCTGGCATATAAAGTACAGAACCCAATAAAATAATGTTTCTTTCTGTAAAAACAAAACAACAAAAATTTTAATGTAAAAAATATATATGGTTATGTCTGAAGATTTGTTTGAGGTTATGTGTGTGAAGATATTTTTGAGGTTATGTGAGAAGGATATTTTTGAGGTTATTTCTGATGAAGACATATTCTGTTTTTTTGGTATATGAAGTATATTTATGTTAGGTAAAAATATGATAATGTATGAAGCTATTTTTTTTTGGAGGTTATGTCGTAAGGTATTTGAGGTTATGTCTGATATATACCCTCTGGCATGTAAAGAAGTACAGAACCCAATAATAATAAAATGTTTCCTTCTGTCATATCACAACAAGAACAAAAACAATTTGACTGTAAAATAATGAATTAAAAAATATTTTAAATTAAATTTAATTAAAAAAACATACATACATGTTTATGAGACACAGTGTAAAAACAGAATAAAAACTTAACGGAGAAAAATTCAACATGTAAGTAACTTTGATATGCAATATATATAGAGATAAAAATACAATTTTTTGTTTGAATTGCACAAGAAAAAAAAAAAACAAATTTACTTTAATACAAAAAAGTGCAATAAAACAAATTAGGAGCAGTATTCTCTATTGAAACTAATAATAAGAAAACATACATTTAAATTGTAATATCATAATTTTTAAACCTTATTCATAAAAAATATTAGATTTCTTTTTAGAGGAGGAGGTATTATAATTAATTTTGTATAGTTTTTTATGAATAAGGCACCGTTTTTCTTTTTTTCAAAAAAAAAATCGTTATTAGCATTTCAAAGATTTGTATTTTAGAATTCGAATGTCCTGCTCTTTTGCACAGGAGGAGGTTGTGGTGCTGGTGTTGTTCTTGTGTATTAGTCTTGTGTGTTCTTTCAAATCCTCAGGCGTTGGAAATAAATGCAAACAATAACAACAGGGTTGTATGGAATCTTTTGCACATTGTTTGATGACCGATGATGCTAGGGATGTTGTTGTAGTACAATTAGTTTTACCATTATTATTATTGTTGTTGTTGCAACTACTACTTTTTATGTTCATTAAATCTGTAAGCCACAAGGGTGGTGTTGTTGGTAGGGGTAATACTTCGTCTTCTGCAGGTAACAACAAATTATTTTCAGGCACTTCTTTTTCTCCTTCTCCTTTGTCTTCTGTAATGTTCTTATCATTGTTATTGTTATTATTGTTGTCTTCTGTCTTAGTTTCCCTCCAATTGCAATTGACATCTGGCTGGCATTCTCGGCTGCTGGCCGGCACTTTTGTTTCCATTAGCCCATCACCATCATCATCGTTGCCATTATTGGAGACTTTTGAAAATTTCCGTTTTTGTTTATTTGTTAGTTTTGATTTTGATGACGATACTGCTGCTTCTGGGCATTGCCGAAATTCATCATTTGGATGCTGCTGACGCATATGTGTGTTATATAGAAGAAAACCTTTCAAAGATTCCTGACAGTGTGGGCAGGTGTAGTTTTGTAATTTGATTTGTTTTATGGGCGCCTTTACTTTGACAATTTTCAATTGGGACTTAAGCGAGGAGGACGACGAGGACATATCCTTGCGTTTTCTTTTTGTTGTAACAACCTTTTGTTTTGTTTCCACATTACCATGATGATTCGGAACTTCTTCGCCTGCTAGTGTTTTGGCCTTTGTCTTTATCTTTGTTGTTGCAGTTGTATTTGTAGTATTGCTAGTTTTTGGTTTTGTAACTAATGACTTTTGCTGTTGTTGTTGTAGTTTGGATGATGATTTCTTTTGACTTGCTTCTGGCTTATCTTTTGGTTTCGACAATTTCTTGGATTTATCCAATTTTTGAGATTTTTTTGAGAGATTTGCAGTTGTTTTTAAAGATTTTAAATCTTTTTGGGATTTTTGCTGTTGTTTGGAGATGGAGGTGCTGGTTTTGGTACTTGTTTTATTGTTCTTTGTACTTTTTTCTACTAATTTTTTAACTAAACTTTTCTTGGAAATTTTGGGTAATTTTGCTTGTTTTGCTTTCTCCTTCTTCTTCTCAATTTTCTTATCTTCTTTTTCCTGTTTCTTTGTTGTTGTTTTGGCTTTTACCACTGCGGCGGCATGTTGCTCCTTCATATGCTTAACATGATTCGGATAGCCACAGACAACTTTCTGACATAGCTTACACTGAAAATAGAATGATTTACGTTTGGAAAATTGATATATTCGAGCGGTCGTGGCCACTTCCTGCTGTCGCTTGGCACTCCAGCCAAACGACCCAACATGCACTATCTCTCTTAGATGGGTTTTAAATTGACCTATTTCGTGTTTCTCCAAAAAATGACGACACAACGCCAGATATTGTGTACCCGTCCACGTACATTTAATGGGACATTTCAGCTCCTTCATAATGGGATCTTGCAGTGTTTTCGATTCG